GACCCTGTTTCAAAAAAAAAAAGTTCTAAAGTGTTTAGTTTAGAAAATAAACCCCTCAGAGGACTGAGCCGTGAGTGGCAGGAGCACGGTAGAAAGCACCTAGTGCCTTGGTTTGGGACCTGGAAATACAGGTGCACCTCACCGCTACCACCGGCTCACTACCACTAGGCTACATTTTCAGATCTCCTCCCCTCAGGTCTTATTACGCTGGAATGGGAAACTGAGTGTCCATTTCTACTCCCACCAGCGGTGCAAGGGCCCAAGTGAGGGGCCTCAGGGACAGGCCAGGCCCTGACCAGAGGGTGCTGTCTCCAATCCAGAACACGGAAAAAGCGGGCGTTTACTGGAGCACTAAAGCCACAGTGGATGAAGGAAGGCCCAGCATGTACCCAACCATGGCACCACCAACCTCACAGACCCTCTGGATCCTCTGCCCTGCCTGCCAAATTCCTAACAGTAGGAACCCAGTCAGTGGCACTGGGGATTCAACTCAGAGGGAGGACCATCAGTCTGTCCTCAAGCCCAGGGAGCTCAGACTGGCCTCTGCGGGTGGGAGGGCTGGGTTTCAGAAGGAACTTCCAGCGGGAGCCCGCAGGCTGCAGAGCACCACCTCCCCACAGAGACAGTCGGAGGTAGGGATGGCTGCCTATCTGCCCCTTGCTGGGATGGCCAAAAGAAGGCAGGCAAGCAAAGTGATTCCAGTCTAGGAAACCAGAGCGCGGAACACCATCCAATGGAACCAGCTTTTTCATTTTGGTGGCTCTAAAACCAGTGTCAGGGGCAGGCCTGGGCTCCTCTGAGCACTAGCACTTGTGGGGTGGCCCCGGTGTGGTCTGCTCTGGGTATCGGCCAGCCAGCCAGGCCACCTCTTCACCCAGATAGCAGGGACACTCTGCTACCACCTGTCAGTTTCTGTGTGTGAGGGAGGAAAGCACTAGGGTGGAGATAAAAGCTTAGATGGGGCTTCAGGGCCATACTGGCTACATGGAAGGGGAAGGCACTTTTGTCCATCACAGCCTGGGTTTCCTCCATTAAAAGGACGGTGGGGAAACCATTATAAATGAACAACTAGCCAGTGCCCAGTCTTGCTTGGGCTCAGGGAAAGGGGTTGTTTTCTTCTTCTGGGTCTTGAATTGCACAAACTGCAGGAAATAGGGTTCAAAACAGCAAATAAAAGCCTTCCCAATCAGCCAGATGAAGTGGTGTATGCCTGTAGGTAATCCCAGCACTCTGGGAGGCTGAGGCAGGAAGATTATGAATTTGAGGCTGGCCTGAGATGCATAGCAAGGTCTCAAACTGAATCAAACAGAACCAAACCCCCAACAAAACAAAACACCCAAATGAAAACCTTCCCAATTAAAGAAAGGATCTTTCCCATCAGTGTGGGGCTTTGGAGGCTAAGTTTCCAGTTGCACTGAACAGTGCTACCCTGCCTGTGTCATCAGGAGATGTGAACCCCCGCCACAGATGAGGTGACGGAGAGTCCAGGGGTACAGAGCATGTCAGGAGTCAAGAAACAAGCTGAGACCACATCCGGCAGACTTCAAACGCCAGGCTCTTTCCCTGGTGTGGTCAACCCAGCAGTCTGTCGTCTTGACACACACGTGAAAGTTTAAAAAGAATGAGTACACCGGGGCCCAGAAACTATGACATTCCACAACTCAGTAACAAAAGGCAATCAATTTAAAAGTGGGGAAGGGCTGGGGGGTGTAGCCTGCTTAACATAGGTGAGGCCTCGGGTTCAATCCCCAGCACCCCCCACAGGGAGAGGACTCTGCAGGGCCCAGTCCGACAGGGATATCACCCTGTGCCACCAGGGGGACCTGTCCTTCATCCCCAGCACTAGAGGACAAACAGTCACAAAGAGAGTGACGTCTTAGTGGTAGTGGGGATTGAACCTAGGGCCTCTGTACATCTCCAGCTCATTTTTATTTTGTTGAAATCCTAATAACATTACCTTGGTATATCATACTGGTGGTGTCCCTCTTCCTTCATATTTATGTGGTTTTCTGTTTGGCCCCCTCTTCGCAGTCTGGCTACACAGTGCATCCCTGAGCTGCCTGCCTACAGCAGCAACACACTCATGCCACATGTCTAACCCCAGTCATCCATCCACAGGGTGCTTGTAAAAGAACTTGTTGTAAGCCCGGCTTCCCAGGATGACTAGCTCCAGTAAGTGGAAGACAGAATGTAGCAGCTCACTGGTTGTCTTTTCTGGACACTGAATGGAGAATCTTTCGACTTTTGCTCGTTTTCACTTGTTTACCAGTCTGCTCTTCGTACATTTCAGTTGGTTTCGCTGCTCCCTTGGCTCTTCTAGGAGCTCTGAGCCCATCTGGTCAGACTCCGCGGTGATCCGATGAGACCGCTCAATACTCTGGGTGGCCCAGTTGAGGATTTCTGTGCCGAGACGATCCGATTCACACACCTGCTCACCGCAGCTGTGCCATATGTTACGTCCCCTCTGCCCCCAGGCAGGGCTGTCAAAGGTGGACATCTCTCTCCCCGTGCATTTGGGCAAGGTCCTGACAGTTGCACAGCTCAGACATCATGGAGTTACAGGACAGGAGTGCATACCACAGTTCTTCCTCCATCTGCCAGCGTTCATTTGCTTTGTTGCTTTTCATCAAAATCAACAACTTCTTGGGCTGGGATTTACCTTGCCTGCCACGCAGTACAAGGTCCTGAGTTTGATCCCCGGTACAAAAAGACAAAAACCAAAAAAAAAAAAAAAAAAAAAA